TGAAGCTCACTGCACATCACTGCACAGAGTGCTACCTCCTAGCTAAGATGATCTATGATCACTATTTGGCAATCTGCATTCCTCTACTCTACTTCATCACAATGTCCCAAACAAAGTGTGTTTAGCTTGTAACAATTTCCTGCATTTCTGGCATCATTAATGCTTTCATTCATACAATGGCTGCATCTAGACTGTCCTTCTGTGGCCCAAACATCATTAAGCACTTTTATTGTGAAGGTCCTCCCCTTTTTTCTCTTTCCTACTCAGATATCTTATTCTTAATTACCTGCTGGTATTTGTATTTATTTCAATTTAATAGCAACAAGCCTGACTGTTCTCACCTCCTACAAATATATCCTGGTTACCATTTTAAAGATACGATCTGCCATGAGCCATAGGAAAGCTTTCTCCACTTGTACATCTCACCTTGTGGTCATCACCATTTTCTATGGATGTTTCAGCTTTATGTATGCACGACCAAGCTCTAGGTCAAATTATAACCTAGACCAAACGGCCTCTGTGTTCTATGTAGTCGTGACCCCCATGCTCAACCCATTAATTTACAGCATGAGGAACCAGGAGGTAAGAGGTGCCTTCAGAGATGTAATAGGAAGAAAGTTTCATCTTCAACAGATATATTTTTAAAAACTATTACTCTTTGCCAAAATTCAGGTTTAGAGAACAGCTGCTCTAAGTAGAAAATTTTTTACTATTGTGTTTCATTAGTTGTTGCCTTTGTTTTATCACGGCCATATGCAAATTGGTCATGTGTGCTTTTTTTTTTTGATGCAGGTGCTATTCCTAAAATTCCTTTCCTTGGAAGAGGGTATAAGACTTGCAGAATTGATGTTAGCATTCCCAAGTAGAGCAGACTGGAAACACGATCAGAGGAACTAATTTGACATTAGTGTAAGGCTACATTACCAGAATCTTGCTTGTCTGACAGTATAAATTTCCCACTGTCTTTTTTGTACCTTACAAAGTTAGCGGGTTTTCTTTCTGAGTTTCCTTCTTTGCTCATTATGCATCTGAGGGCTATATCCTTACTTATCTGATCACCCTCTATGCAGCATTTCTCTCCTCCTCCCCATCTTCCATTGACATTCCCACACAGTGTTACAGTGAAGTTTCAGTTACAGACCTCAGATTTTACTTGTTTAACTAATTTATACATTCAGTCAAATGAGTGCCTAACTCAGGTAGTGTGCATCTTCAATAAAAATATTCTGTTCCAAAGGATGGGAATAGGAACTGAGAAGAAATGATTCCAGGGAATATCTGGCAACATCTCTTGGAGGTCCATGGTTGAGATATAGAATTGAGTATCATCAGCATCCTGATGATATCTTGTCCCATGCCAATGCATGACTTCATGCACTGGTTTGTGTAGATATTGATCAGGAGTAGAAAAGAACTGAATTATGAGGCACATCACAAAGTAAGTGTCTTAGGCAAGATCTCTCTTTCTCTCATTGCTCACCCACAAAACTGACTGAAAAGGCCACAAGGAAGGACTGCAGCACTGATATGCAACACTTACATCCTTGAGCTCCCATGTTGATGGAATTCAAGTTTGACAAGGGATCACAGAGGGTGAGGAAGGTGCACCACCTCCATCATCATCCCATCACAAGTTATGAACAAGCACAACTAGTGATGTTTCTATGAAGTCTCCAAGTGTTAAACTTGACTGAAAAGAATCCTGATAATCTGCTTCATCCAAGCACCTTGGAGCTGCTGGAAATTATCCAACACAATTGAGTCCAATGATGATTTACTGAAATGGTAAAGATCATAATCTCTAAAAGGATAGGTGCAACCAAACTACAGTCAAGGAAGAATTTCCCACATAATACATTTTGGAAGACCTTTATAACCAGGAGCAGCATGGATCTAAAACACCCACAGCTCTCAAGAATCCAGTCACTTTCTCAGGGCCCAAAATATAAATTCTCAGTTCTCACCAAATAATCACAAAAGATTGTGCATCATCCAACTCCACAGGATCTGCACTTTCAGACTTCAATTCCTAGCGAAATCACATCAACAAGCTACTACCACTATTAAAGAGTGTTTGAAATCACTGGTCTCCAACTCAGTGTAGGTTTTTAAATATTTTCTCTGAATGATTCTATTACTATTCTGAACAGTTTTGTTAATATATATTTTTTACTTTAAATAATAATAAAAACCACATTTTTGAAAGGCACTGTCTGTCTACATAGGGTATAACATGTGTGAGAAAAGATTTGATAAAATACTATCAATAAATAAAGTGAAAGAGAGAATGTGATCTCTACTGAATACTACATTTTCCACTAGTAAATATTTCAAATTGCAATTTGATTTATTAAATCCTCACTGTGTAATTAACACAAATTAGTAGATGGAGCAGTTTGTAGTACTTCAGGGAGATGTTTCCCAAACCAATATTTTTCTCAGTAGAATTATCTTCTCCATCACTCCAAAGAGAGTTGAAGGAAACATTAATATCTGCAGCAGTGTATAAAGCTGTTGAGTTACTGGAGATTGAAGGAAAATATTTGAATTGTTTTTAGAACTGCGAAAGTTTCAAAAATCTGCAAATCAAAGCTTGAAAAAAGGCAGATATTTTAATATGTGAAGGAAGTTGTTGAGCTGCAAGAAAGCAAGTGAGTTTGATAATCAAAAAGGCAACTATACATTTGTTGTGTTTTATTGTTTGTGAGAGTTTGCTTTAAGAGTTCATGGGATGACAAGTTATAGTTACTTCAAAGAGAATTGTCTGTATGTTCAGAGAAGATTCAGATCAAGCCTGTATGTCATGCATATAACCTGCACAAGGCCATTTAAAATGTTTAAATATTGTCTTTTATATAGTTCATATTACATCAGAAACCATGGGAAGCTTGGTAATCTAAGAAGACCTCAAAATTTGCATCTTTAAAAAAAATCCCTTTATATATTAGGAAATTTAGCAGTTCAGTGAGGAATTATCATTATTATTAGATACATAAGATATGAGAGTCAGTATTGTTCACTATTCAGAATTCATTTCATCATTTATTTTATTTTATTTATTTATTTATTTGTCAACATGTACAAGGTAACAGGTATTAGTATAGACATGGACATTTTCACATGAGATTGGTACAAATAGATGCAAATAAGTATAACATGAACATATAAAATGAGTACATATCAATGGGGACAGTAGATTTCTTGAGACATCATCTCAAGAAATGAGCAGCCCAAGTAGTCTAAACATCAGCTTCTACAAGTCATAGAACATGTAGATCCAGCAATGAACCAACAAAACAATATATACAGTTGAAAGCAGTAAGAACCTTTCTTCACTTAGCTTGCTAATTCTTTACTGCAGCTTCTGAAAATATCTTGTGAGAGAAAAAGTCAATACAAATCATATTTTGCTCTGATACCTTTTTGCTGTCTTTCCAGGTTTAAAAGAGAGTTCCTCACCTTGAAGATTTCAGTAGCATTCCCTTGGTCATGAATCGTCTTTAATAGTCTGTGGATAAATTTATTCATGGGCAGAAACTAGTCTAAACACAAATAGTATGTTATATCCAATCTGTCCTTTTATGTAGATAGCTATTGTTATTACATGGGAAATTGATTCTGATCAGAGAGAAATATTAGAAAAACTAAGGGAAATTGACTGAAATGTTACTGTGATTACATGGGAAATAACACACAGGTGACAGAGTTCATACTCACTGGATTAACAGAGAACTCACAGTTGCAACTGTTCCTCTTTGGGACATTTTCTGCTGTTTATGCCATCACCCTGGTGGGAAATCTAAGCATGATTAGCTTAATCAGAACCAGTCCTTCTCTCCACACACCAATGTACTTTTTCCTAACCAGCTTATCTTTTTTGGATATTTGTTACACCTCCTCTGTCACCCCAAACTTTCTATCCAATCTTTTAAAAGAGAAGAAAAGTATTTCCTATGGGGGCTGCTTCACTCAGCTCTACTTTTATGCCCTATTTGGAACCACGGAGTGCTACCTCTTAGCTGTGATGGCCTATGATCGCTACGTGGCAATCTGCAGTCCTCTACTCTACTTGATGATAATGTCCCAAAGGAAGTGTGTTCAGCTGATAACAGTGGCCTATGTTGCGGGGATCATCAATGCTTCTGTGCACACAATGGCTGCAACTACTAGATTGTCCTTCTGTGGTCCAAATGTCATTAAGAGTTTTTATTGTGAGGGTCCTCCTCTTTTTGCTCTTTCCTGCTCAGATATCAGTCTTAATTATCTGTTGGTATTTGTATTTGTTGGCTTCAATTTAATAACAACAAGCCTGACTGTTCTCACTTCCTACACGTATATTCTGGTTACCATTTTAAAGACCCACTCTGCCACGAGCCGTAAGAAAGCCTTCTCCACTTGTACATCTCACCTCATGGTCATCACCATTTTCTATGGA